AAGAACAGTTATGAAGTAAATGACCAATATTAGGATGGAAATTGTTGAAACTCCCTTCTCAAATGGTGACATGGAACCTTTTATGGTCCACCTGAACAGGCAGAGAGGACCTCAGTTTAATGTCGCATTTGAGGGTTGGTAGCACAGACAGTTGATTGTTCCCCGAGTACTATGTGAGTCAAAGTCCTGATGTGGAGCTTCAACTCATAACTTTCTGACTCAACGAAGGGAGTGCTGCTAACTGAGCCAGGCTGACTGATGGACTGATACCCATATCTGGGTATGTTCACATATATTCAGCACACGTTGCATGATCATTGTCCGTTTTTATTTACCTCATAAAATTTTGTAAGCAAAATAATGTATTTTAATTTCAAAGCTGGAGTCCAAGACCCATATATTCATAAATCATCATTTCATATTTATTTGAAGATTACTTTATCTTAGGAGGATGAGAATGAAGAGCACACAGGATGTGGAATGTCATCTACTATCTATGGAGAATGAGAGAGCTGACTAGTCGAAATCTCTGGAGAACATCATGGGGATGGTGGGACATTTCACAGGTTGGGAGAATGCTTCCTGTACACCTACAAGACATGAACAGACCCATCAGTCACAGGAGTTTGCGCTGTAGCCTCTTGGCCCTTTTGTATTGCAGCGGTGCTTCATGGAGAGGTGGAAACGGTTCTATATGATGCTGACACCTCTTATGTTGAAGGAATGCTCATCTTACACTATGGATGGACAGCTCTCACTTCACAGTTAAATGGCAAATTTCTTTTCTACTTGTTGATCTCCCCCCCTCCCCAATGGCTAAGAGAATTTGAACCCTCACAGTATAATTTGAAGTGTGAATGGCATTGGTAGGTATGCAATATAGATATGGAAAAAAGTTGGTAGGGACTGGAGTTAAATGATCTGCCATGATCTAATGAACTGGCAGAACAGGCTTGATGGGCTGAATGGTTTCCTGTTCTTCTAATGTGTCCAGATAGTGGTGATTTTGAAAGCATACTGACTGTCTTTACTGAGTTATAGAAGTTTGCTGTGCGATTTGTCAGTCCAGAAGCAATTAACATTTGTTTTGGTCCCTCCTAATCTCCTAACATTTATTTGGACCTGTACTTAATTGTGAATAAAATACCATTGTTCGGGCTTTTGTTTCACTGTTTAAAAATAGACTGTTCAAATCCTCTACGTAGATTGCATTTCAACTAGCTTTTTAGTGAGCAGTAGATGTGAATGCTAAACATTAACAGAATGATGTTTATCCATGTTAGAATCATGGAATCATAGAATATTAATAATAATAATAATTACAGCACAGAAAGAGGCCATTCAGCCCATTGTGCCTGTGCTTGGCAACTATCCCTTTCAGCATTCACCCTTCCCCCCCTCTCCCCATGCCAGTTTTGTTTCTGTTCTCTGCACTGTGAATATTATTCGACAGGCACTGACTGCCCTCTGTATCCTGACCTAGATCGCTCTTCATATGTTGGCCAGGGCTACTTGACCACAAGGGAGATTTCAATGGACAACTAACCGTTTTACTTGATGGTCTCGCATATGCTTTCGGACAATGATCGCTGCCTAACATCGAGTGAGAATGCTGATAGATTGTTTCCAGGCCTTCTTCTATAGTTGGGGCCTATAGTTGTAGCATCCCCAACTGCTGGCCCAGTCCATAGCTACAAATCAGCTTAGTCAGGCTGCGTTGGAGTCTGCTTTGTGAGAAGTGTTAACTTTGTGCAAATATACCAGTACAGAGGGATTTGCAAGTACTTTGAATTATGTCATTGGCTGTTTCATATACCTGCAATTCTCTCAACATATGTATTTACACTTAGTTTGCAGGACGTGCTAATCACCTTTCATTGGGGATTAAATCTGAGTCCTTCCAGGTCTTGTTAGATACTAAGCAGCTAACTCACCAACTGAATTGGTGAAGGCAGTCACAAACTGCTGCACTGTATTGAGGAACATGGTCCGCAAACTTGTTTTTTTTTAATTGAATTGTGTAGTTTTGCTGCCTCCTCTGATTCCACAGTCTCCCAACTTGGTGTCATCTGCAAACTTAAACAATTTACACTGGATCTGAGTATCCAGGTCATGAATGCACACAAGGAACCAGTCCAGACACCCGAGGCAACCCTCATTTTGACCTAGCTCGGCTAATGATTTTGTTTCCTTCCCTTCAGATAATTTTGAATCCATGTCCTTGTGTTGCCCTTGATAACTAGTGACAGTTTGTAAAGGAGTTTTTCCAGTAAAGTCATCAAGATTATCCTTTCACACAGAGCAAATGACTTTTAGAGTTTAGAGTTTGTGTGTTTCTATGTTTGGTCTGCAGTGATATTACCCATGCACAGAAATAAACCCAGGAGCTGGAGGTCAGAATTCCTCATAGGGTGATCTGTGACGTCAGGCCCTCTATGACAGAATTATTCCATGCTTGAAACTCCTTTGACAGCAATTCAGCACCTTATTCACTTATTTATTAACTTATTTACAAAAATAAGAGTCTAAACCATTTACACTTAAACCAGTAACAAGTTAGGCACCCACTCGATGAGATGTCCTCAAGCAGTTAATCATTTCGCAAGTTGGGTGTTTCCATTGGATAATTAAAGCAAATCCTTGCCTTTGATCCTGTGACTTATCCTGTCGAAAGGTGTTGCCCTTCACATGAGACATGAAACCAAGATCCCATCTGCTTGTTCAGGTGAAAGATCCTATGTCTGTGACCTGGCTAGGAGTGGAATGTCCCAATAATGTGAGACGTAATTTAGCCTGACATTTCGATGACCTTCGGATAAGATGTTAAACCTAAATCCCATCTACTTCTTCAGGTAGATGTTAAATATCCCATTGATCCATTCGGAAATAGGAAAGCGTTTCCCCTGGTGTCCTTGCCAACATTCCCCCACGCAATCGGTGGTTCACTTCATAGCTATTTGTGGGGCAGTGCTGTGCTTTGCAGAAAAAAAAACTTTGTGAAACTCTTAAAGCTGTTCTGACGTAATAGTGTTGTATCAAGTACAATTAGTATTTTTATTTTTCACTTAATGAGTTGCCAAGGAGTGTAGTGAATGCTATCCAAGGGAATCTGCTCTGAATGCTTTAGTTAACTGGCGTCAGCCTGGCTCAGCTGGTAGTACTCATCTCCTGAATCAGAAAATTGGAAGTTCCATGCCTCAGTTTAAGACTTTGAGCTCATTGTCAGGGCTGACAGCTCAGTACAGTGCTGGGGGAGCTCTGCAATGTCTGAGGTGCTTTCCTGTAGGTCCTGTCTGCCTGTTCATTTGGAAGCTAAAGATCCCATGGCACTGTTCAAAAAGGAAGGGAATTTCTCCTACTGTCCTGGTCAACAATCCTCCTGTTAAAATTCATCATTCACTTCATGGCTGTCGGTTGGTCACTGATGTCTAAATTGCCTTCTGTGATAACCTACAAAATCATTACAGTAGATCCTGTACAGTATTTACAGTAGACCTTGTGACTTTCTTTGAGCTTGGGTGCAAACCCTCGACTGCCTTAGGACATCCCCACATGAAGGGCACTATATAAATGCAATTTGTTGTTAAGATGGTTCAACAACAACTTGCATCTATATAGCGCCCTTCAGAGGGGACTGCACATCTGAGCGCTTAGTTTATCAATAAGGTGGTATGGTGCTATACCAAATGCCAGGATTACTATGATCATTATGTCCTATAGCTGATCAGTTGTCTAGTTTCTAGAATTCTGTTGCATCTCCACGTTAGTTGAAGAAATATTAATTGATCCACTATTCATTAGAGAAAGTTAATTGCTCTCTTATTTCATGCGACCATTGCAGTGGTACCAGGCCAGTATTGAATTTAATTTTTTTTAATATAAATATAAAGTGGAGTTACTCAAAAGTAGAATTACACTACTCCTTGTAGGACAGTCAAGGAAGCATTGAGTTACACAGTGTAGGAAACTGATGGAAACAGACCTGTCTTGCAGGATTCTCATGAGAGATGATGCATGGTTAGAAACCTCAAGTTCATTCTTATCACCACCATTCAAGGGCTCAATGTTGGAAAATGAATGCATTGATATTCTGAGTGGATTTTTGGCTCCTCAAAGCTGTAAAGACCGCAACCTTTACAAAGCCTTAAACTTTGGGTAATTTGTGTTAGATGTATAAAGTGTAAGCTAGAGCATTGTCCTGAAAATCCATTATCCGAGCTCCACCAACAGACCAGGGTTCCTGTTGATTCTTCAAATGCTCTTTCTGGCGATTGATGCTTCTTAGCCTGACCCAAATTACTGTGGCTGAGTCTGAATGTTCTGAATTAATTTATTGTAGCAGCCAAGGGGGGGATGGAGGAGACTCTGCTGTAGGGACTAAGAGACAGCAGGAAAGTATTTTTTTCTCATTCCCTCTTGTTGAAGAATTTTGATCCGCACTTATCCCTACATTTCAAGTGAGGTACTGTCTTACAATGTCATTCTCTTCTTTGCAATCCGTTTGTATTGCAGTTCGTTCTAATGTCACATTACTCTGTACTCCGATGAAGGGTAACAATTTTCTTACCGAGTTATACCAGGAGATACTGTAGCGGTTTATATTGGCATGTGTAATATACATTATTACATATTCACAATGTGTTATAAGTACTCTTAAGTGCATATCAGTATAAAGACTTGAGTCTGTCAAAAGGCCACAGAACTCCCAAGTATCTCAACACTTCACAAACAAATTCTTTTTAATGAATGCAGTGTGTTTGAGTACCTTTCTCGTGAGTTATAAGGGGACCTGTGATGTGTTGCATTTTTCACCCCATGGTATGTTTTTTGCTGATAAATAAAGTACATTCATTTTCTTATATACTTGTGCCAAAGCATGCACTGATCCATTTTAGCGTGTTACTACGTCGGGCTAATTTTAAACGTCTAATTGGGTTGTCAGACAATCCCACGCAGTAAGAGGTCCATGTCAATGATGCATTGTTTTATTATTCTCTTTCCTCAGTTTTCCACCTCTCCAGCAAAGTCACTTCTGTAGTACCAGAGAGTGTGTTGCTCATTGTGCTGGGCCTTGGATTGGGAGGGATCGTCTGGGCCGCAAACCACACTGCTTCCTTCACCTTAACTCCCACCGTGTTCTTCTTCTACCTCCTACCTCCAATCATCCTGGATGCTGGATACTTCATGCCAAATCGGCTATTCTTTGGGAACCTCGGCAGTATCCTGATGTACGCTGTCATTGGCACAGTTTGGAACGCTGGAACTACAGGCCTTTCCCTCTATGGTGTTTACAAGAGTGGCCTCATGGGTAAGCACTGCCATTGTGTTTAACTGAAACTGTTGGTTAAAATACAAATCGTAGGACCTATAACATTGAAACACTTCAAAGCAGTTCCACAGTCATTGCCATCAAGTGTAGCGACCATTTGTAAACAAATACCACAGCCATTTTACAAAGGGCAAAGGCCCACAAATTGCAAAAAAAGGTGACATACCTATTTATCTGAAGAGTTGTTGGCCAAGGCACCAGGGGAAACTCCTTCCTCTTTTCAAACTGTGCTGATGGGACCTAAATGTCAAAGCAGGTGGTCCATTTTCACTTGTGATCTGATTGTGACAGCGACAGTGCCATAGGTGGTAGTCAAAATCCAACATCATTGCTGGGTGTGATGCTGAAGCCATGCTGATGGAAGTGAAGAGATATCCAGCAGAAAAATGACTGGGCGCTTCACACTCCTGCATCTCATCTCCAGTGCTGTTGATTTATAATTGAGTGAAGTTCTATGTGACTGGCTCTTTTTCTTTAAGGGACCACTTCCAAAAGGTGAGCTTTGAGTTGTTGAGCCGCAAGTATGAACTTCATTGTGCTGCTGCTGTTATCGGTTGAAATAGGCTACCCTTGTGTGTACCTGTCCAATCTTTTGGATTTTTTTTTCTGATCAGACACTAGCTGTGGTGAGGTTGGGAAAGAAGGCTGGGAACAAAGTTTTCTGATTTTTAGGCAAAGCTTTGACCATTACTTGAGTAGCTAGCTCCTAGCCTCTTTTACCTTTATTTAGGGAGCACCAGTTGGGCAAAACTATGCAGTGTTCCACATGTGTATTGAAAAAATTGATGTTTCATGTTTATGTTGTGGTGATGTTTTACTTTCCATGGGCAAACTGGATGGAAACACTGAGATTTTCAAATGTAAGGACTGACTACACGACGGAATACTCAAAAGTGTCAACTCCACTGCTGGAGCGTTACTCATAGTGTAGCTCAAAACCCAGCATAAATTCTGCACAAAATTTAAATGAGAGCTAAAACACAAAAGTTAAAGAAAAGTGGTCACTATGTACCAGTACAAACGCCGTACAGATTACAATGGTGGCGTCTCGGTGAAATTGATTTGCGTTTTGTTGCTTGCTTTCTTCAGGAGAGCTTGACGCTGGTCTCCTGGATTTCCTCCTGTTTGGAAGTCTGATTGCAGCAGTGGATCCTGTGGCCGTGCTAGCTGTGTTTGAGGAGGTGCATGTCAATGATATCCTATTCATCATTGTGTTTGGGGAATCTCTGCTGAACGATGCTGTCACTGTGGTAAGTTAAAGCAGCGGTGGGACTAACGTACCTTTGATATAATCTTGTGGAAACTGTTCAGCTTTGCACTTTGAAAAGCAATCTTTTGAAGAATCAGAGGGTCACCAGCACCCAGTCATCATTACCACAATAAAAAATCTGAATATTTTGCCCACAAAATACACTGTCAATCCACTTTACAAAATATTCTGTGAAGCACTTTGAGCCATCGAAACGTTGGGCAAGTTTCCTTACTCCACGTGTCTCTGTGTACCTAGCAGTAACTGGGAACCCGGTTGTTTTTCGATTGGTGGATCTTTCTTCCGGAAGTAATCAATTCTTCTAAAAAATAATAAAAATAACTTGGTCACTCAATTCATGACTGGTTGTGGGACACCGCTGTGTGCAATTGGCTGCCGCGTTTTAGCCACAAAAAATATATACAATCAATTCACTTTGCAGAACATTGTGTGAAGTGCTTTGAGACATCTCGATGTGATAAGGCGCTATATCAAAATGCAAAGCTTATTATGCTCAACAACATGACAAGGCACTATTATCAACTGTATGGATTTATATTATTGTACATTCAGTGGAGAAGAGTAAAGCAAAGAATTAAGAGACCACATTTTTTTTTGACTTGTACCTTTTTATGAAATTCTCCATCATGATGGCTATTTTCCCAGAAGAATTCAAAGCAACTTTTGTTGAGCTAAGCAATTTGCACAACTTTGATTTGCTCGGTTTCCTTCTAATACAAAACTTTTTCTCCTCCCGTTTTCCCCCTTGTTTCCCTTCTCTTTGGAATAAGGCTTGTTGGGTATTGGCCTTTGATAGCTAAGCCAGATGATAATTATTAGCTAGATATTAGACATGGTTCTATTGTTCCTCTGCAGCTAAATAATTATCTGGGCCAGGTATCGGAAAGTTCTTATCTCTTTGGAGCTATTTTAGCAAAGTCATTCTGACAGGACCAGGAAGAATTGACTTTGTTATACTATACGACTGCCATAAAAGTCTTAGGTCATTGGAGCCATTCTCCTTTAAATCTGTGCAGAACACCATTTAGCTCTCAAACATAATAATAATAATTGTTGCATTTGACATAGCGCTTTTCACGTCTTCTAGAAGTCTCAAAGCGCTTCACAGAATATACTGTAAAGTGAATTGACTGTATATTTGTGGGCGAACGTGGCAGCCAATTGTGCACAGCAGTGTCCCACAAACAGTCGTAGATTGAAAATAACCAATTTATTATTGTTTTTTTTGGAGGGATTATTATTAGCCGTGTGGAGTAAGGAAACTTGCCCAAGGTTTCGTCCTGCCTGGGAATTGAACTCAGGTCTCTCGCTTGCAAAGCGAGTGCTCTAACCACTGAGCTAAAGGACTCCATGATGCCTCCCTTGCTGCAATGCAACTGAGGCATTAAGCACAGGGTTTGATTAATTTGTAGGCGATAAAAAAGTATTTCTGCATTCATTTAACAGCAAACCTCTGAGGTACTGTTTTTTACCACCTTATCCAACTAGTGCATCCCTCCACTTAGCGAACACTGGCCTGCTTAATGTGCCCTACTCCATCTATCCCACATCGGCAGGTGACCTTTAAACCATTCTGACCCCGTTCCGTTGAACTCCACGCTGGAGATGTCCAACTCACTACCTTCCTCCTCGCGCCCAAGGCCAGCCTCAAGATATACCTCTTTGACTGCTTTCGGTCATCTTTCCCCTCCCTACCTTCTTTGGCTCCCACCCCGAGCTCAGGTGTCCAGCCAGCAGTGTCGAGTGCTTTGACTTGCCTTCCCTTTGTGAAAGGCGCTATATAAATTGCAATGTATTGATCGTTGCCACCAAGACCAAAATTTCACTTGACAAGTACTGTGCTCTAAATGTAGTGTTTTCTCTACTGTGGTAGCTATCTTTGATACTGCACTCAGTGTAATTTATCCATGGTGACAGAATTCAGGACTTGGGAAACTAAAAATATCTTCTGGTCTCTCTGGGGATTCAGCACAGCAGTTCAGTAACGGTCGAGATAGAGTGAAACTAGCTATTTACCTGCATAATCTAGAACTTGTTCTGTTGCCATGACAACTGAACAATCTTTCTACATCTTCCTCATCCAAACCCACAGAGCTGTTCTGGTTCGTGAAAGAGGATACTCTTGTATCCTCTTTGCACAGTGGACTGCGTCCACTACAAATAGTAGTGTGCCCCTTGTACCCGAGGATGATGGTGTCAACAACGAAGGGGGCATAAGTTCATGATAACTGGTGCATTGTTGACTATGCAGGCCAATGAGTGGTTGACATTGTCTACCACAAGTCTCACATAACCATATTTGTGGGGGTGGGTTCTTCTGTTCATCCCTCTGACTTGCCGATCCTTCTGTCTCTCACGTCATGCCTCCATACTGACACAGTGTTGTTCCTCAAAACCCTTTACACCTTCTCCCACTTCAACATGCCATTGCCGTCTGTTGGTCTTCAGTGTGTCCTTGTAGAGCCTTTGTTGTCTGATCTGCTTTCTTCTGCCATCCACTAATTCTCAATAGAGCACCTGCTTTGCCAAACGTACGTCGTCAATCCTAACATGTTCAACCCAACAGGGCTGATCATTGGTGATCATAATCTCACGTTGTTAGTAATTTGTCTTGCCACCTAATATGAAGTAAGGTGCGAAGGTGTCTTTGGTGAAACCTTTCCAGTTGTTGAGTGTGCCTTCTATACAATTGCCCATGATTCACATCCATTCAAGAGATCGGTAAGAGCAACTGGTTTATAAGCTTTGTTTAGTGGCAACCTTGATACCAAGCTGATTCCAAACAGTATATCAAAGGCTGTACTTGTTCTCTGTATGCTATCAGTTCCTTATTGATCCTTATATCATCAGACAGTACACTTCCAAGATAGGAGGTGGGACACAAACCGACCTGAAAAGATCCCTAGTTGCATAATCCAGCATAACTGCATAAAAGTGTGAATAGCACACATCCTTACTTCACATCATTCGGGATGGTTCACACAGAATACAGTCAATACATTTTCTGCCACGCATCCTATCATGGAGCTGTTTCAGAACTAACAAGAATCTCGTCACAAGACTTCAAAGTGCAGGCCACAGACAGTATCGAAACTTTGATCAAGGCAACAAACACCATATATATATATATATATATAATATATGTCTTGATTTTGCTCCTTCCACTTCTCCTGAAATTTGCAGAGATAATAATAATAATAATCCTTGCATTTGATATAGCGCTTTTCACGTTGGGAGGACGTCCCAAAGCGCTTCACAGAACACACTGTAAAGTGAATTGACTGTATATTTGTGGGCAAACGCGGCAACCAATTGCGCACAGCAATGTCCCACAAACAGTCGTCGATTGAAAATGACCAATTTATTATTTTTTTTGGTTTTGGAGGTATTATTATTAGGCGTGTGGAGTAAGGAAACTTGCCCACGGTTTTGCCCTGCCTGGTATTGAACTCGGGTCTCTCGCTTGCAAAGCGAGTGCTCGTAACCCGTAACCACTGAGCTACAGGACTCCACGAGCATAACACAGATAAGTTTTCTTGAATATCATGGAAGTAGTTTTCAGCAAGTTTGTGTGGAAGAGGGTTCTGAAGCCAAGCAGTTCTGTGAAAGCAGCAACCCTCGAAGACTCTTGATCAATGTGTAGTGAGAACACTGCTTGTGATCCATGCATATTCTGATCCATCCCTGTAATTTAGTGACACTTCTACCTGATGTTGCTAGAGGTGTTCATGTGATGTTAATAGACTACTTGTGTCTGGGAAAGTGAATAATATTGGTTAATGGCTTAGTTCTAATTTGTCTTGAGGATATCACTAAATCAGTCCTAATTCACTTGGCTCTATCCCAAACATCCCAACCAGCCTTATAATGAGGTGTGACATTTCTGCATCGAGATGACACCAATTAGAATACCAGTGCTGTCACTGCACATGTGTGCAGACTGCCATTTGCTTCCTGCAGGCTTAAAGAAAAAAGTTGACTTAATTTGCTGTCAATGTTATTTTCTATGCACTGGCATCAAATATGATCTTTTGAACTGAAAGTCTGACAATTTTTAGTGCTTGGAGAGTTGGCTCATTTGAACCTAAGCTCAACATGGCCCACAAGTCATATATGGTACAAGGGACACCTTGTGCAAATCTAAACTCTGTGTCTGATTGCTGTTTTACACCCTTTTTATAGCACTGCCAGTAAAACGTTTGGCACCAGAATGATTAGGAGTGGGAACTGATTTTATTTCCCGCTCCTAATTTCTGAAGAGAATTTTGTGAATGTGAAAATATATTTGTTCAGAATGTGGATTAATTTTGTGCCTGCTGCGTGTTCCACTTCGAGCAATGTCCCAGTCAGTGATTACTGACTACGGGTGAACACCCACAGTATTGTGAAAATAGTTGTGCTTGAAGCGGTTGTAGCAGCCGATGAGTGGGACCTGGGATCCTTTAGACCTGTTGCCCTGCAGATCTTTCTCAGCATTTTAGAGATGCCTTGTGGAAAACTGGCTTAACCTTGTTTATTAAGAAAAAAATCTTTACATATTTGTTGCCCTCTCCAGGCCCCAATCATGAGGCTTTTGATTCTCTTCTTTTATTTTCCTTTTGCATCCATTCCCCCAGGGATAGTGCAGAGATGTGAGAAGTAATTGAGGTGCACTAATGGATCCACTGCTGCCTATGTTGTGGTAATAATATTAAATAATCTTTGCATTTGATATAGTACCTTATCACATTGCTGAGCCATCTCAATTTTTTTTAAGACAGCTGGGTGTTTGACACATGCAGAAACCCATCACCATGCTTAAAAGTATCCAAACCAAACTGAGAATTCCACGCATCTCACCTACACATAGACATTTCAGATATAGATTGTTGTAAAGGAATGCGCACACTCTCCCTGGAGGGATACTCTCTGCTTACCTAATTCTGGAAAGCATTAGGCGCAGGTTGACAAGAGTCAAGGCTTGGGGACCCCAGAGTGTGCGTTGGGGTACTGTTGGAGACTAATCAGCTAAAACCGCATAGCTTGCCATTGAGAGCACGAGCTTTCCCACTGCTTGTCAAGCAAGGACCACTCTACCTGTTAGAACTTTGGCTTGTATGGTTAACAGGAGCTGAATGGGATGATTTCATGCCCCCAGTGACTGTAACTCTGAAAAGGCCACCTTGAGAAGCAAAGATTCCAAAGGAGTCTAATCTCATTTCCACTTACAGATCTCATTCTTGCAATTGAAGACTACTAATTCAACATCATTGTGGTTTCCTACACACCTGGTGATATTGCAGTGCAAACATTGTCAATACATTGGTTGCAAATGGAAGCGAAATGAAACTGAAAAGGGGAATTTATGTCCTCTGTAAATTAAGCCAAATGTAGGTTGCAGCTCAGATCGACTTTGTGAATTGCGTGTGTTTTGATACCCCCTAGTGACAACAGTGTACATTACAGGCAAACAATTAATTATTGCCATGTCATCTCTTGCCACGCTTGTGACTTGGTTTGATCTTTGATGGAAAAATACGAGATTTAATAATAAACTTTGGTGTGACATCATATCCAATCTGCTAGGAAATGTTGCATTTCTTAAAGACTGGCTAAGGAATTTGGCACAATGATTTGTTTTCTAAGATCAATTTGAAAAGCGTTCAGTCCTCGTCTCTATGATTGGAAACGTCAAAAAAAAGAAATCCTTGTGGCTTTAGGAATGGATTGAAATATACGATGTTTCATCTTAGATTTGATGTATTAATTATCACATTGAATTAAATATGAAATGCTACACATTTCATTCCAATAGATCAACAAATCAAATCCTATGTAACTGTTCAGATTGTGTACAGGTCTTAGTAGCCATCTCTAATTTAAGGTTTTATTACAACACTTTGATCTTGGATAGTGCCTCTCACATGCAGTGATGGTTGTGGAGCCTGGTACATTTTGCCACAGGGATTTATTTTCTTCTTTAGTCAATTTCTCATGTTTGCCGGACACATGGTGCCTACAGTCTTGTCCGGTTTACCTGGTGTCCGAGGTTAACCGGCATCAGGCTAAAGCGGCTTCCACTGCATTAAAAAGCCCTTGCAACATTGTCATCATCAAAATATCCCTGGACTACTTGAATACCACTCCAGTTCTATTTACAGTTTCCATTTTCTGGCTTGCAAGATTCTTTTTAAGATGATAGAAAAGACTTAAAATAATTACCAGACGGAGAAGCCAGAAGGCGAGGTAAATGTCATGGAAGTAATTGGAACAGTTGTTGATTACTGTATATCTTTCAATCATAGCAGGCACCCATGCAAAGCCCAGGGGCACTGGGGTCAATTTTTATTCTACAACAACAAAATTATATTTGTATAGCGCCTTTCATGTCTGGAGGACGTCCCAAGGCACTGGACAATCAGTATTACAGACCTGAGCTGGGGGTCGGGGTGGGGGAGGATGGAGGGCAGATGGGGAAACAGGGAGCTCGAAAGCACGGATGAAGAGGAGGTCTTGAGATGGGTCTTGAAGGTGGCAAGGGAAGGAGCGAGGCGGAGGTGCTGCGGTATGGAGTTCCAGAGGGTGAGTGCAGAGTGGCAGAAGGCCCGTCCACCAATAGTGGGGCGAGCAAGGTGGGGGATGTGAAGCAGGCCGGAGTCCGCTGAGCGGAGGGAGCGAACAGGATGGTAGGAGGTTAGGAGGTCGAAGAGGTAGGGGGTAGCAAGACCGTGGAGGGCTTTGAATGTGAGGACCAGGATCTTGAACTGTATCCTCTGTGTGATGGGAAGCCAGTGGAGTCGGGCGAGGATGGGGGTGATAGGGTTATGGAGCCTTGTGCGGGAGAGGATACGGGCTGCAGAGTTCTGAACGATCTGCAGCCTGTGGTGGGAGGAGTTGGGAAAGTCGACAAGCAATGAGTTTGCATAGTCGAGCAGATGACATGAATCTTTCTGTCGAACATTTTAACAAAATGTTATTTCTGTGTTGTTGATGTTGACTCTTTCTATATGTTGTCCTTTGCATTTCTACAGAATGTGTTGAATGTCTTGGATCCAAAGAATATTTGCACATGAATGTATTCCAAAACCTATTGAAAATGTTCTCTTTCTTTCTAGGTGCTGTACAATGTCTTTGATTCTTTTGCTGGGATTGGAGCAGAGAATATTAGTGGTCTGGACATCTTCAAAGGCATAGGTATTGAAAATACATCAGCAGAATATTCCTGCACGCTTCTGCAAGTTCCTTTTTTTTAATGGTTTAAGCTTCTGTTTTGCATTATTTTCAATTCAAACCATATTATTTGTTGTATGCGTAGATAGTTTTACCACTGACTGAACTCAAAACCTCACCTTTGTTTACTTGCAAACTATTGTGGGAAATGGATTCTACCAAGAGTGGAGCATCATTGGGTCAAATAAGTAGCGATTCTTAACAGGAGTAATTGATGGTGACATTCTCGTAACTTAATACGCAACACAATGACCTCCAGGAAGTCTACTATGGGAGTAGATTGGGTCAGAGCATTGTCCCCAGGAGTTGGCATCATCCTCTTCGGATACTACAAGTGGTTTGCATTTTGAAGGTGACTCTTACCTCGACCGGTATCTTGTTGAGCAGCATTGAAATTTTTCCTCAATTGCTAAGTGACGATTTTGAAAGGAGGCTTCGAATCAAACCATTGTGCCAAGATGATGGAGGTGGGGGCGAGTCTTCCAAGCCTGGATTATTGTTATGATTACTCATTATTATTATCTCTTCAGTGTGGATTTGGTGACACAAGGTGATTGCAGTGGATTTGATTCTGGCTATTCACCTATGGTACCCGAGTTTGTATCCAGTACAGACCGACTGGGGCCTGCGTGAAATATTTGCGTAGGCTGAAGCCCGCAGCACAAAACTACAATAGTAGCTGGCATATGAAGGAAAATTTCACACTCAGTAGTATATACTCTCCTAAGGTCAAAGGTGAGGGTCATTGTTGGGATAAAGTATAGGAAACTTCATGTCTGAGAACCAACGGTCTACCTAGTCTTTCCCTGAAATTCAGTCTTAATTTGAAAATCAGCATTCTACTGTTCTTGAAGAAATTAGCTTCCAAATCAAAACCGAATGAATAAGAATTTTCCACAATTCTGCATGATCTTAATTATTTTTGCATAAATTAATCTAAAATCAAAGTAGAATTTGGGGCTTCTGGTTGGATGTATATAGACATTAGAGAAAGCACCCCTCACCATTATATTGTTTTCCTCCAAATATAACATCAGAAAATATTATACAGGTAAATGCATTGACCGGTGTTAATACATTACTGCTTGTTTTTTATCAAACCACAATTTGCACTGCTAGACTGAAGTTCTAACCCAGCTATTGTGTTTCTCTTTTCCAGTATCTTTCTTTGTTGTAAGTCTGGGTGGAACTGCTGTTGGCATAGTCTTTGCATTCCTGCTCTCCCTGGTAACCAGATTCACGAAGCACGTACAGATTATCGAGCCTGGATTTGTCTTTATCATTTCATATCTGTCCTACCTCACCTCAGAGATGTTTTCTCTCTCTTCTATTTTAGCGTAAGTTTTCTGTTGATGTGATGTTTAATTGGGTCCCTGCAATTTAATTGGAAACAGCAAGACATTGTGGCCTTGCGTGTTGGGATGGAGTTTAATGATGCAGGTTGGGTTAACAACTGTAGCCACACTGACCTGCTCTGATGTGCCTTCTAATGGTTGGCATTAACTCAAGATTGGCAAAACACAATATTTACAAATGCTTAATCCCATCAATATCCCAAAGTATATCATGCCAACCCACAGGAACTTTACTTAGCCACAATCTATTTTAGTCACTTCAGACTGGAGTGCTCATAGGTCAGTGTGAATCATATCCAGTTAACTGCAGGATTCAATATGTACCAATCTCGTACAAATTTCCTTAAAAATATTGAGGGGAAAATTGGAAAATTTTGTATGTGCAATTGGAAGTACAGGAGCTTTAGCTCTGAATCCATGATGAAACATTGCATATAAACCATCAACAAAGATATTTTTAAGAATTACCAGTGTCAGGGCCAAGAGCAGCATTACCAGTGCTGGGATTACATTGCTTTAAACCAGAGTAAGAGGGCAAAAAGCATCAGTAAAATCCAAAAAGGGGAGGTTAACAAAAAGAGTAAATCTGACCAATATTTTGATTTAAGAACCTTGTAGAACATTACTTTAGTATATTTTCTCACAGACTGGCTTTCTTTCTGCCTCCCTCCACCCCATTAGCATCACGTTCTGTGGTATATGCTGTCAGAAGTACGTGAAGGCCAACATCTCTGAAAATTCCATCACCACGGTTAGATACACCATGAAAATGCTGGCGAGTGGAGCTGAAACCATTATCTTCATGTTCCTGGGAATCTCTGCAGTGGACACTCTGATATGGAAGTGGAACACGGCCTTCATACTTTTGACTCTGGTCTTCATCTCTGTCTACAGAGTCATTGGTAGGTCCTCAGAGGACAAAAATAAAAGTATTTAACTAATTGGGTTCAGATCAAGCCATCCAAAATGCTGATGAAAACTAGGGAAGCAGGTAGATAATCTTTAAATAGATTGGACCATTAGTTTTAAAAAGAAAGTACTGCAGGTGAGGAGTAGATGAAATGTGAAAGATATGACAAGGTATGAGGATGAGGCAGAGCAGTCAGATTGAATGAGAGCCAGTGTGGACTCAATGGGCCAAATAACTTTTTCTGTACTGTAAATTTCTATGACTCTAGATATAAAGAAAAGTTTCTCAGCAAATTATTAAACTCCTTCAAAAAAGGGAGCTGGAGGTGAATTGGTTGAGGATGAAATTGCAGTTTTTTTTGTTGAAGGCATAAAGATTGAGATAATCAGAAAGGAAAACATCTGTAACAAATATGATGTTACAGACAGCATACAGACCTCTATCTAACCCAGCAACACAGCTACATTCCCAGTGAATGTAGCTATGTTACTGAGTTAGACAGAGGTCTGTGGAGGACACAAGGTCAATGGGATTCCACATTTTAAAGTTGTCATGAAAAGGTTGAATAGTGGATTGAATAGTGAAGATTCAAGGATAGACCGATATTTTAGAATTTTTAAATTGCGTTTGAAATATTTGTTTGCAGCATATTCCCTTGGGACATTATAGGATAGGGTGGAGTCAGTCCATGATAATTGGGTAGATTGGTTTAGCATTAACTGTGGAAATGCTAAGCCAATTCTTAAAATAATTATCTGCTTCAGACTCTGTACACGCTTCCTTATTTTCTAGGCGCTATATGATACATTGATTGTTTAAAAATAACAATAATTTCATAGTAACTTTAGCACATGAAATCCCGTTGTAAAGATTTAATGGAAAGATTGCAACTTTTAGCAATCCATGTACATAAACAACAACAAAAAAATTACATTTATATAGCGCCTTTCATGTTGGGGGAACATCCCAAGATGCTGGACAATCAGTTCTCAGTCTAAAGTTTATGGCACTTGTGGGGGAAAAAAACTCTTGTTACTCATTTACAGTTCGCACTTGTGAATTGTATGTTCTATTTTTATGAAACAGTGGCATTCAACAGCATGCATAGTGTGCTATTTCTACAACACCTGCATGATTTTTACGTGCTTTGTTTAAAGATTTGAAAAAGGGAATGTATGTGCTGGGAATGGAGTCTTGCTCAGAGATAACAATAATAATCGTTGCATTTGATATAGCGCCTTATCATACCTTCGAGATGTCTCAAAGCGCTTCACAGAATATAGTGTCAACGTATATGTTGGACTGTATATTTTGTGGGCGAAATGTGGAGTAGCATTTCAAAATTCAAAAATCCTGCATTGTATTGGAGCACACTTACGCATTGTAGTGGGCAGAACATGGACCTGGATTTAATATCCCACTAGCACCAGCACTTGAGTTAAATACTCAACAAGAAAATTGATTCAAACTTTGACTGCTTGCACCCTTGAACTTTTCAGGAGTCATCATTCAGACCTGGATTCTCAACCACTTCCGTGTGGTGCAGTTGGAGATCATTGATCAAGTGGTGATGTCCTACGGTGGCCTGCGTGGAGCTGTAGCCTTTGCCCTCGTGGTATTACTGGATCAAAGCAAAATCAAAGAGAGACGGCTATTTGTCAGCACGACCATCATTGTGGTGTATTTCACGGTCATATTCCAGGTAACTATAGCCACCTTTTACCTGTAGGTCCTTTCCATAAATTCCATAAATGACAGCCATGTGTTACCTGTATCTTCCTGCTCAACAAAGCAATGCTTAAAAGGTATATTTTAATTTAATCATTATGGTTTCATGGAGCATTGTGAACTTATTTCTTGAGTACAAAGTTATTCAAGAAGAAGCAGAAACAATCCATTTATTTAAGAGCAAACTTGATGCATAGAAGAGGGAGAAGGGAAAAGATGGTTATGGGGGAAAGGGATTAGAAGGGATAGAGATTCATGCATATACACCAGCTTATATACCAGAATACCCTTGGTATAAACACCAGCATAAAGTAGTTGGGCTGAATGGCTTATTTCTACGCTGTAAAAAATATGTAATTATTTGTGCCAAACTACCAATTACTTGAATAACTATATTGTCGGGAAGACCTTTACATTTTAAAAAAAACAATGTTGCATTGTAGTTTAGATCCATTCCATTGTGTATAGTTGTGAATGAACTAAAACCACATTGACTGATTATTGCACTTTTCAGGGTTTGACAATCAAACCATTGGTGAACTGGCTGAAAGTGAAGAAAAGCGAGCACCGAGAGCCTTTACTCAATGAGAAACTCCATGGAAGGGTAAGTGCAGTCCCCGTGCATAGAGTGATGTTGAAGGAGCATTCCTTCATGAATGGGTACCAGGGCAGGGAAATTTGTTTTAGCAATTCTGAAGTGCTGCTCGAGCCTACTTCAATAGTTGGGACGGTAACTGCTGTGTTCATCATAATAATAATAGTCCTTGCATTTGATATAGAGCCTTATCACATCTTATATGTATAAGAATATACTGTGAAGTGAATTGACTATATGTTGTGAGAGAAACAAAGTGTGTTTTTATCAAAGTGTTAACAAAAGAGATCTTGCAGCAGCTCTGCTAATGTGGGCCTTTTTATGGTTTGGGGCTGAACATGCTTCTGTGACTGAGGTTCATCCAATTGCTTGCAAATGACTTGTAAAATGGTGGAGTCTTATCTATTTAAGAGGAAACTAGATGTATACATGAAAGGTAAGGAAACAGAAAGGTATGGAGGAAGTAAGGAGTGAGTGGTGCCCTGTATTGAACCATGTCCAGATTGCAGAATGAGTTACTTTGGTGGAGTAGTTTAGCGCACTAGCCTCTTGAGATCTGGGTCTGAATACAGCACAGCACCCATCTCCTCTAACTGTGGTGGAATAAATTGCGAAATCTGTGGAATTGAGTTCAACTTGCATCAGTAGAGGTAAAAACACAGGCAATGGGATGATTCAGCATTGACTGTATGACTTATTGGAACGCACGCACAAACCCAAATGCTTTGAACCATGTAATCAGAATTCTTTGATGTTTTAAAAAGTCTCATGATAATGATACCCATCTCCTCAGATGAGGTAAGTGGAGAATTACTCAATATTGTTTTATGGATCTTTGTAGTGGGGTTGGATAATATTTATATCCTTAGACATTTTGCAGGAAGATCCTTTTTATGTGTACAAAATATTTGGTAACATAACATTTCAAATGAGGTCAGGTTTCATTCAAAGTAATGTAGCACAATCAAAGAGCATTTGTTTTCTTTTTAAAGGCATTCGATCACATTCTATCTGCAATAGAAGACATCTCGGGCCAAATCGGGCACAATTATCTTCGAGACAAGTACGTACACCAGTCCGTGTTATTTCTTTACTGTCAAAACGGGGTCTAATTTTCAGCAGGCATCTTTAATATTCGCTCTGCGCTAGATTGAGAATCTTGCTGGTAACTGGAAATCTGTCATTCCGACCTATTGTTGTGATGCACCCAGAGGAGATTGCGGACTGCTGCCAATCAACATATTGCACTTCCTGTTACGAACAGGAAGCAGGGTTGAGCAATATTGCACTTCCTGTCTAACTTCCTGTTATAATAATAATAATATTATTATTATTAACTTCCTGTTATGAACGGGAAGTGCAATGTGCTGATTTGCAGCATTCCGTATGTACAACTCTGAGTCGGCATTCATTGAGTCCAGTTACAAATTACTATCCTGGAATTTGATAGTCACACCTTTAACAGTTTAACTTTCTTTTATGAATACTAAAACAAATATTTCGAGAGATATCCTTAAGATTTTCATCGTTTAATATTATGCTTACATTTTCTTCTTAAAGTTTACCATTGCTGCAGGGTTCTTTGTACTGTGCTCAGTATCTTGAACTGAGGCACCTTCACTGCTCTTACTTTTGTATCTTTAAAAGCTCTGAAAATCTGTTTTCTAGGCGTGTAGAACAATCAAGAAAGCTAATGGGATACTAGTCTTTATAACAAGGGATATATGGAAAATCAAAGTAAATTTCAATAAATAAATAATTAAGGGAAACAGGATGCTGTATTACTAAATCAGTTGAATTCAGGTTCCCTGGTTGGTACTCTTGGTGCTCTGGTCAGCCTGCACCTAGAGTACAGCATACAGTTCTAGTCACTGTGTCATAAGAGGTTGCCTCGGACCTAGAGATGATGCAAAGGAAAGCAACAGCGATGATCATTGTTGGAGGAATGAGCTATGAGCGATGATTGGACAAGCTAGGGCTGTTCAATCTTGAGAGAAGATGACTCAGAGGGGACCTCATAGAGGTATATAAAATTTTAAATGGGATTATAAAAGTAGACCCAGAATAATACTTTAGGGTGCACCAAGACAATAGAACATAAGGTCGGTGGCTTAGAGTTGCAAAGGGCAATTTCAGGACACCAGGACGTTTTCTTTACTAGAGGATTCACTTAGAGATTTGTGTTTGTGTTGGATTTTGGAACAGATCATGGAACAGGCTTTGGGGGAAACCATTATGCCAAGAGTTAGTGATGGTGGGGGTGGGGGGGTGGGGGGTCTGACAGTTGTGGCCAATCAATTAGAATCAATAACTTAACGTGTTTTAGCATCTGTTATGAAAGTTCCATTTTTTAACCCCAATAAGTATACCATTCAATGTCCTGCCACTGTTCCCATGAATAGTTTGCTGAGTTCTGTGCATCGAGGGTGCACAGATTGTACAATTACTGTGGGATCGTGAATCCGCACAATCTGACCCGATTTTTGTAACAGAGTAGGCTGAGTTTCACAAAGCACACCCAGAGAGCTGTATGTGTGGACTCCATTGATTGCTCCCATTGTATCTTTGCTCTTTATCACCTTCCAATATTCTCAGATATTGTTCAGAAGTGGTGCTGAATGCACTGTCTTCAATCCATTAACAACAACTTCTTGCATTTATATAGTGCACTTCAAGCAGGATAGTGTCTCAGACAGTTGGAAACTAGGAGAGGAAGAACTGGGAGTGGGAGGTGACCATAGGTGCGGTCGCAGAGGTAAGAAGGGATTTAAAGTTAAAGACTAACACATTATTTGCTGTTCCATTTCAGGTGGGCTAACTTTGACAGAAATTACCTGAGCAAATTACTGATGAGGAAATCTGCCCAGACGAGTAGGGACAGAATTCTCAGTGTCTTCCGTGAATTGAACATCAAAGATGCCATCAGTTATGTGTCTGAGGTAATACAGACAACAGCCTATCCAAATGGTTGCTTCCCAATAATCTGGAGTGATTTATCTTATATATGGGGGAGCCAAATGAATGGTGCTGTCACCGTGAAAACCCTGAACCTTTCTCTTTCTGTATAATATAATAATCCTTACATTTGGTATAAAACCTTTCACATCACAGCGAGACTGCATGTTTTTGGGGGGCGTGGGGGGTGCAAACACACAATCAATATGTGCATGCAAATGTTCACCAACAGGCATTGAGTGAGTGACCCAATTTTATTTGAACCTCCCTTCTATTTTCAAATATTAACATGGGATCTTTAACGTCCACCTGAACAGGCAGACGCGACCTTGGTTTAACATTTTATTCAAAGGGCAGTACCTTCGATAATGCAGCACATCCCTAGCACTGCACTGGAGTGGCAGCATAGACTGTATGGGTTCCAAGTACTGACATGGGACTTGAACCCTCAATATTCTGACTCTAAGGTAGAGTGTTAAAAACATTAGGCTGACAGAGCAAAAGTACCCTTTTCTGCGTGAAGGGCTTTGACACATCCTCCTGAAATGAAAAGTTCTATATCAAGTGCAATCATTATTACAATTAATAGTCGTTATTAATTCTGCTTAAAGGAAGAGAATGTAGGATGCAAACTTTAGTTACCCGTTGTTGACCATGAAATCCCACATTCAGACCGTCCCTTGATCTTTTGGCCCTGTAAACCTTGCTTTTCATAGGATCTTTAATGCCTACCTGAAGAGGCAGACTGGACCTCAGTTTAACGTCTCATTTAAAGTATGCCACCTCCACAAGTGCAAAACCCCCCCCACTTTTTTTTTGTGGTGGGGCGGGCAGCTGGGTGTCTGACAGAAACCCATCACCATGTTCAAAAGTATCCAAACCAAACTGGGAATTCCATGCAGTCCATCTACACATGGAAATCCCAGGGATAGATTGTTGGAATGGAATGCACTCTCGCTTTCTGGAGGGACACATCTTGCTTACCTAATTCCGGAAGGTATTAGGAACAGGTTGGCAAGAGCCAAGGCTTGGGACCCCAGAATATGTTTTGGAGATGAAACCAAACTTTCTAACTAAAAGTAAATTGAGATAGTTATGAGAATGAGGGTCTCTTATATTGGGGTAGATCTTACCTGAGCAATAAAGGGTTGAATCATTCATACTATTTTAACGGATCAGGATGAGCAGAGGGTGAGCCAAATGACTTTATTGTTGAGGAGTTGGTGCTGTGGAGCCTCATACAAATGACCAAATATTTAAGTTCTTGCCTGTTTTCTAGAAATCTGCCTTGTTAATATAGCTTCCATTGTTTTAAAACATCCATGTCTGGAAGTCATGTCTCATGCTAATTTGATGTTCACTGGATGCCCAATCCAATGATTGACTCAACCCGTTTCATTAGCCCCGGTCACATCAACAGTATAAAATAGCACAGATTGTGAACCTATGGTGCTGCAGCAAGCTAGTGTGTGCAGGCGCTGAAGAGGATTGTGATTTACTAAATGCACTTGGACACTGAGAAAACATAGCTTCTTTCGGGGATCAAAGGAATACTGAAGTCACTTGGGTCTTACTGAGCAGTTACAGTACATCAGATGAGAGTTGCCTTGCAGCTGTGAGATGAATGAGTGAATTAGAGGGTCCAAGGTATAATTTCATTTAAATTTTTTTTTGTTTCATTTTTTGGTGCGTACTCCCCATGAGCACAGACCATAATAATAATCCTTGCATTTGATGTAGCACCTTGTCATCAAAGTCTCAAAGTGCTTTACAATGATTTTACAGCAACAATAAATATAATTGCATTCATATATCATGTTGGGAGAGTGTCCCAAGGTGCTGGACAGTCGAGGGTTTACACCTGAGATGGGGGCAAGGGGGTGGAGGTGGTAAGATGGTGTGGTCAAAGATGAAGGTCTTGAGCTGGAACCTGAAGGAGACAAGGTAAAGGGACTCTAGGAGGGAATTCCAGAGAGTGGGGGCAGAAAGGCTGAAAATCCAACCACTGATGGTGGGGGTGTTGTGGGGGGGTTGGGGGCAAGATGGGAGACGTGAAGCAGGTCAGTGCCTGCCGAGCAGAGGGAGCAGGGCGGGTTAATAAAGCTTTAGAAGATCACGGAGGTAGGGTGGGGCAAGACCATGGATGAATTTAAAAATGAGGCTGAGGATCTTAATCTCGATCCTCTGGAGGATGGGGAGCCGGGTGGAGATGGGGTAGGTGGGGGGGCTGCGGAGCCTGGTGTGGGTGAGGACATAAGCTGCAGCTTGTGTAGGAGGAGATGGCAAGTCTGGCAAGCAGAGAGTTAGCCCAGTCACCAGTTGTTTTACTGTAAAGTATAGTGACTGTACTTGTAGGCAAACAAAGCAGGTAATTTGTATACTACAATGCCCTGCGAACAGCCATGAAATGAATGACTAATTTTATCTGGTGGATCGTTGGCCAGGCACAAGGAGAAATGCCCTTCTGTTTTTAAATAATGTTTTAAAAGCCACCTAAACAGGTAGACGGAACCTAGTTTTAACCTCTCTCCTGAAGGATGGCACCTCTGATCACGCAGTACTCTTCGTCACTGCATTGTGAGAGGCTGGGAGTTCAAGATTACAATGTGGGGGTTGAACCCACAATCCAGAAGTGAGACTCAGAGGCAAGAGTGCTACCAGCTCAGCAAGACTGGCACTGTGGTTTGGACGTGGAGGCCACAAAACAATCTTAAAAAGAAAAACATTAGAAACTCAGTGCAATTTGTTTCCATTGGTTTGTTGTTGTCTGCTGTAAATAATTAGATGCGCTAGGATGAGAAATTCATCCTCCAGATATCTAGATTGAGAAAGACTGTTCGATACCGAGGGTAATGTCTTTAAAACCATCACATGTCTTTAATTGAATTTTTCTGTTCTGACTGCACACAGTATATAAGCTACTGCAGTTAATTGGAAAAATAATTTCATCCTAGTAGAAATAACGAGAGAAAAGCTGAACATAATCAAACATTTGTGCTCCTTTGACATTGTGTAACCTGGAACCTTTATTTTTATAGGGAGAACGCCAGGGGTCATTGGCATTTATCCGCTCACCCAATGATGTCAATGTTGATTTCCGAGGCTCCCGGTCATCTATTGTAGACTCTTCGCTCTCTTCAATCCTGTAAGTAAAGGCCATGACAGTCTTACTTTGTATGTATTGAGGAAAGCCTGATCGCAATTTCCTACCTAGACTGAGCATGACTTAGCCCAAAGAATTTAACCTTAAGAATTTTTTTAGGGATCAAAACCCAAACTTTCTACTGTAGTTTGTAGACATTATAGGCTTTAGTTAGTAAGGCTAATACTGTAATTTCAGCAAAATTAGTTTACTGTTAAATAACAAAAATAATCGAAACACATTGACTTGCCCATGCAAATTGAGCTCTGTGTTTTGGTCATTCATCTTTAAGAATCAAATCCTCCTGAGGCACAGGACAAGGCAAGAGCCTTTTTATTTCCAAAAGTTTGAAGAAGGATATATGGGTCATGTAGCAGATTAGAAACTAATCTTTTTTTAGTGGTACGTCGGCATGCGGAAACATTTGCTCATGTTTATTGGTTAAACTAAATGCATTTGAGTAGTCTCAACTCAGTTCCTAGTGAACAAGGTCTCATATTACAAAAGTACTCATAATTTCGCATTAAATTTGGCAAAATTGCTTAAAAAGTTCACACTGATGTGGGAAGTGCTACATTAAGGGCAGTGGGAGGGAGGATTCCGCTCTGAGATTGGGGGAGAGGAGAGGAAGGCCTAACCTGGGATTACCTGTGTACCGAAAATAGGAATCCATTTCCGTCATCTCACTAGCACCCAGGAGATACTGTTCACTTATTTGTTATATGTAGAATTAGGAGAAGATAGAAGGATCAAGGAATTATTAAGATGGTTGGAGGAGAATCCTACCACAGAGTGGTAATACAGTGTTCTCTGTTTGGTTGCCAGGCGGGAGAGCACTAGTGAGGTGTGCCTTGACATGCAGGCACTCGAGAGGAGAAGAAAGAGTGTGAAAGACCGAGAAGACACTGTCACTCATCACATGCTGCACCAACATTTGTACAAACCCCGGCAAGAAGTAAGGAGCTCACTCAGGGAGCTGTCACATTATTTTGCTATTTTAATGTAGATTGCCACATTGTTTTTGGTGTCTAAATGCTCTTTCACGTTTTGTTAATCATTTTTTCAAATGATCAATTTACAATGGGTTCTGGAAAATTCCAGATGTTACCGTGGAAGGACATATGTTACAGAAACAGAGACTATTTACTCCCATGAGGTGACGAGAGCTTCATATGAAGAAGGCCATTGTATTTACTGGGTCTACAATTCATCTGTTGCGCACTGTATTTACTGTATTTACTATAATACACCAGTTGGGCACCATATTTACTGAGGTCTATAATTTATCCGCTTGGAACTGTATTGACTAAGTTTTGCGTTTCCTTTATAAAGTCCAGGCTTGTTTACAGTCGTCATAAGCTGACACACAAAAAGGATGAAAAGCAAGACCAAGAGATCTTTGAGCGCACCATGAGAAAGAGACTGGAATACTTCAAATCCACAAAGCCAGCGGTCCGCCACGGTACGAAGTGCAAGGATAGAATAGTGAAAAAGGTAACTAAAATATAGCCAATGGTTTCAGAATCTGTTTATTTTTGTTTGCTTTTGAATTATATTTTCATTTACGTGAAAGTTTTGTTTTTGAGCTGTATTATAACATGACAATGGGATAATCATAAACCAGATTTGTTGCTTTAACTGCCCTTCTAATTCACCTCTGCTCTAAGACTGGTTGAGATTAATTAACAAGGACTGAATAGGGAGCAATACCTGGCCTCTTCCAGGTTTGTATGGGTCCATTTCATACAGGACCAAATAAGAATATAGGTTTAATGTATATTCCCTCCCATCATTCCCATCTAGGTGTTGCGGATATTTGTAGTTAGCAAAGATTTATAAAGATTGCGCAGTACTGAAACAGGTGTTTATACTCCACACAAGTCTTCACCCATTCCTTACTCCCTCTCATGCCCTTCTATTTCCCCCTCTCTCATCTGAAGGCCTAACTTCCTCTTGAATGCATCTATACTATCCTATTCAACCAACGCTCCAGACAGTGAGTTCCACCTCTCAATACCTTCTGAGGGAAGTTGCTCATTTTAAACTCTTTTATAAATCCCCCTAGTCACTATATTATATCTTATGGACTCCCCAAAAAGTGGAGGCTATTTATTTCTTCTCGAACCCTTGTATAATTTTAAAACATCTCTTTCAGGTGCCTCTTAACTGTCTCTTCTATAGCAAAAAAAAAGGCCTGACCTATCCCTGGCAGCTATATCCTTATGTATCCAGACACGCGCGCGCAAACACACCGTCCTCCTCTCAAAACCCATGCTGGAGCACATCAAGGCAGATTTGCACGGACAGTGTTTACTGTAACAGCACCATTTCCACTAAAGGGGAGTGGCAGTGTCTGCATAAAAAAGTGATGGTGAAATCTTGCGTGTTTGCATGGGGGGCAGGAGGCAGGGATGAATGATAGAATCATGGAGATGTTGAATTGAAGAGGAGACGTGATTGTGACAAATGTACAATGTACATTTATATAGCATTTTTCTTGTCAGGTGGATGCCTTAAAGCCTTTCACGCAGCTGACTCGCAACCAAACACTGGATGGGGAGTTGGGTGACGAATAGGGTAGGGTGGGAGCAGAGAAAGGTGACTGAAAGCACAGTTTTTTTTGGGGGGGGGGTTTAAAAGTGGGGAGAGATAAATACAGTGGAATGGACACTGAAGTGGAGTTACAGAAAACAGGGAGTGAAAGGTTGGTAACTGATGGTAGAGCAGATATCAGATGGGAACTTGAAGAAGGTCAGTGATTAATGAGTGGAGGAAGTGGCCAGGTCATTAGATTGCAGGAGGTTGTAGAGTTTTGGTGGGTCAAGACGCTGCAGAGATTTGAAGATGAGGATCAATTCAATTTGCTGTGGGATGCGGAGTTCATGGAACAGAGTGAGGATGGGGGCTAGGCTTACTGGTGCAGGAAAGGACATCAGCTGTAGAGTTCTGGATAGTCAGCAGCTAGTGTAGGGCCGGAACTGGGGAGTTCAGTAAGAAAACTGCTGGGATAATCAAGCTTGGAAGTGATGAAGGCATGAACGAGGGTCTTGGCAGCTTGAGGGCAGAGATATGATGGTGGAGACAGGTGACATTGTGGAGGTGAGGGAAAGCTGAGTGAGTGAAAGCCTGGATTTAGGGTGTCAAACGGGATATGGACGTTCTCACTTGGCTCTATGAGGTGGAGTGAGCCATCTGTACAGGCTGATGCAGTCAGCCCTGGAGGTGAAAAGGCACTAACTGGAGCCAAACAGGAGAATCTTGGTCTTGTTGTCCTTTGTCACTGATTTTGTTAATTTACCAGTTGCTTTGTAACTTTAAATAAAAATCTAGACACTTTGGTTATTGCATCTTCTTCTGATTTTGTTGCAGAAGAATCAACTTACCTTGCCAAACGGAAAAGCGAATGGGAAATCCCATGGGAAATCCCATGGGAAATCTCACGGGAAACCGAATGGGAAGCCAAATGGACAGCCAATTACACAGATGTCTCTGCACCATGATGACAAAGGTAATATTTCAACGTTTTCTCTCCCATATGTATACTTTTGCCTACAATCACTACCTTTACAGTGAATTCTATGAAGAACTTTGAGACATTCTCCCGACATGGAAGGTGCTATATAAATGCAGACTTATTATTGTTAAATGACAGACCTGTCTAAAGTGTTTCCTGACTGAATTTGTCTTGTGGCCCTACTAGGTTGTGGGCTTTGTTTATGGTGTAAATTAAGAGGCAAGTTACTCATTTTTAGTTTATTAGTCATATCTCACCCTTTTGCCCCCCCCCCACCCCACCCTCCATTGGCCAGAACATTTTATGCATTGAATACAGTTCTACAAGTGCTTGTTGTCTTTCTAATTGGTGTTTCAGTCATATGGGTTGTCACGATCCTCATTGACAACCGCACACACATGTGCATTTTCCAATAGGATTTACTGAATCGCCATTAGAGCAGAAACCTTAACGGTTTTACTCCTCTCCCACCAGGGATGCTGAGACCAACAGCAGCACGCTAGCTGCTCCCCTGATTGAGATCAGATATTGAACAGACTGGGAATCTGTGACTTTCTGATTTTATATCCTGAGGCATAGTAAAATGTATAACCTTGTGCTGTGTTCATAACAGCTGACACCAAAGTCACCTTGCTCTCAGCATAGAGTGGTGCATAATGTGAGGCCATCAATGTGGACTGAGCATGGGGTGGGTAAGTGGGCAGTTTTCTGGCACAATTGCACAGGTGCCTGCCTCACTGGCAGGAATGTCCTGTTTTTATTTACTTTTGCATTTGGATAGAAACTGCAATTATATATTTGCAGAAAGAACTATTTATATTAGGAGGAAAAAGTTCTTGAGTAGCACTTCTTTTAAGGACCCAACCTTGAAGAAGAGTTTCTCTTTTTCCCCTCCCTCCCCCTCCCAAGACACTTCCTACTGCATTATTGGTAGTCTTAGTGACTATTTTGCGGGCAATTTCGGCAGTTAATTTGGACACAGCAATGTCCCAGAAACAGCCAGGAGGTGAATGAACAATTTACGTGGAGAAACACTTTTTGATACATCAGCTTGGTTCAGTTGCTAGTGCTCTGGGTCAGAAGGTTGTGGGTTCAAGGCCCATGTCAAGGACTTGAGTACATGGTCCAGGAAGACATTCCAATAATGGTGTGTGAGGGGGCATTGGGTGTGAGGGTGGCTGCATTGTAGTAGGTGCTGTCCTTTGGATGTGACATTTTACCGAGAGATGAGCAGTAAAGAATGCATGATGTGAATCAAAAATAGAAGGGAGTTTCTTCCAGTGACTGGCCAACAGTCCGCCAGTAGATCATTCCTCCAGGTTGAAGTAATAATAATCTGGTTAATCTAATTGAATGTCACATTTTTCACCCTGATATTTCTTATGGGATTTCTTCATGCCTATGGAGGTTTCTTGTTGTAACTGGAAATGTGTTGCACTGACTCAAGGGAATTCCATTCGGATGTGGTCTACTTGTGGAGGGAAGCTCCTGCTGGTCAATGGGTACTCAAACTACTGTGATTTAGACCCCAATGTTGGTCATTTTGCTGCTTGTTGTATGTAAACCTACCTGGTTCTTTCCATCCATTACTTCCAGACCTGTTAGAATCCGATACAGAGGACAATTTTGAGAAAGAGGATGGAGGAATTAATTTCTTAATTTCTACAAGTTCAGCGGTGAATGAAGATCCAAGAAATGGTAATGCACTTCACTTACACAACTCACTCCCTGGAGATTTCTTTGCCGTCATAATATGTCTTGGGTCTGTTCAGCATTCAACAAATTACGTCTCCTTATATTCTAAAAGTGGGTAGTTCTAAATTGACGATAAAATTGAATATTTAAACAATCCTGGGTTAAAGTGAAAATTGCCATTATCTAATTTCCATTGGAAAATACTGGTATATTTAGACCTTTTGAATTTTTGTAGCACAAAAGGTCATTCAGCTGATTATGTCTGTGTCAATACCATATCCCCATTGGAGCCGTCACCTCTGCTCTTTCCCCATACTGTTTTCTTCAAATATTTATTTACATTTAAGTGTTGGTAAGGACTCATTTGGGGTGACGTAATGCTTTAACACTATATGTAATAAAATTTCTTCTAACCTTTCTTTCTAGCATCTTCTAATATATTATTTTATATTTATATTTTATATTTAGTTTTATATTATTAATAATTGAATGTATCTGGAACTATAGAAACTTACGACACAGAAGAAGGCCATTCGTTCCATTGTCTGTGCAGGCTACCTCAATAGCAATCCTTTCAGTCCCATTTACTTGTCCTTTCTGCATACCCAGGCTGGAGGACTCATTAAGCTGACATGTAACTTTGCGGCGTTTTTCAACGAGGCTGGGCTACCAAAAGCAATTGGGGGTGACGTAATGCTTTTAGCGATGCTCTATGTTTTTTTAAAAAAAATTCTTCTGACCTTCCTTTCTAACATCTCTTACAACCGTGTTTTATATTTTTAATCAGCGAATGTTCTGGAAGAGCAGGAGGGCTGATTAAGTTTACTTGTAATTTTGTAGTCTAGCTGGGCTGCACAAAGCAGTGAATGGGTAGCCAGAAATGCTGAAGAACTTGCACCTAGAGCCTTAACATTTAAGGATTTAAGTCCCTTTTAAATGCAGTGCTGCTCTTTTTTTTGGGAGGTTGGGTGGTGGGGGGGGGAAAGAGATCATCCAAGTGACGGACACATATAGAAGCTCACTGGCATACTTGAGAGTATCCAAATCTGACAAGGTTCCACAAAACGTGTAATACTGAGTTTTTTTGGGGGAAATGTAGTATGTCCATTAATACCACATTTCCAAAAATGTAGTATTATTATTTTAAAAATATTCTCCCTATTTCCTTATTATGCCTCTTATCCCTAGCCTCTTCATGCTGTGATGTAGTTCACAATATGCCACCCAAATAGCCATTCTTCTTGTGTAAGCATTGGGAGTGAGTATCGGCAGGCCACTCGACTACACTATGCACATCACAGCAGAGCCTGACTTCGCTGCCGTACTCGCACATTACCAATAAAGGGACCAGGAGCGTAAGTCTTGGCTGCTTTTCCCCTCTCAAATCCTTCGAAAGCTGGGGCCAGTTTAGGCTTTCTTGCAGCTGTAGTAGGCCAAACAACTCAACGTAGCCTGAGATTTGAACCAACAAGTTCCCAGTCTCTAAGATACAACTCTCCAATTTTTCATTGGGGATGCCCGATCAGATCGGTGCGAAAATGCTTCAAATGTCTCTACACGCTCTGTCAGTTGCCTGAGAATAATGTTGTTCATAATCTGCTCTCCAGGTCTGTGATTGGCTGTAAATCAAGTGGATCGCACTCTCTGCTTTGTTTGTTTAGTGTTGAAAATGTTTGTAAACATTTTATGTTTTTTTAACAAATACTTTTCAAAAACTCCCTACAGGAATTGTTAACCCAATGTTTTGTGCTGATGAAGAACAACCAGACAGTATGATCTCTCCACCACCGTGGGTCTCTAACGAAGATACCGTTATCCTGTCTCAGAGGGCTCGTGATCAGATACCCCACAGTCCAACCTACTTTCATCGTCTCGCTCCCATGCAGCTCAGCAACCGCTCCATAGATTCCTTTTTGCTAGCGGACATTCCCGAAGAGCGGCCACTGTCCTTCCTGCCAGAGTCGACTTTAATGTAATTACACCGGCTTGTATTGTACTGATATCTTCCAGCACTACGAACAGGCGTCTTACTGTGTCAGCTCTTGTATTATCAATTGCTTTCCTCAACATCATCTACCAGCTCTGCAAACAGCCTTTTATTCTTAATACTGCCTAATGTAATTTCACCATCTTGTCCAATTGTACTGATATATTCAGGCTCTATGAATACGTTTTTACTCTACCTCTTAGATTCACCAATGACTAATATTTCCTATCGACTGCTGATTTTTTAAAAAAATTCTGGTACCTTTAAGGTTTGAGTGCTGTTTGCTCATGAGACAGACAGACAGTTTGCTTCGAAAACATTCTGATCTTTCCTTGTATCTTTCCTCCGTCAGTAAATTCAGTCAAACCAATGACTAAGACACACTAGAAACAGCAGATTTGATACATTATGTGCTAAATTAGCTGGAAAGCACAGTAAGGGCTCTGATTGATAATGGGTTGGGAAAGGAAAACATGGGAATTTTGTTTACCTCTTAATCTGTATTTCCATCTGGAAAATAATGCATGATCCTAGGGGTGAGAGAATCAAAAGTCTGCTGATACTCATTGTCTGGGTTTGCAAAAACTAATCCATGCCTTTAAGAGGAAGAAAGAAGGAAAAACACCCCAATCTCGGGATTAATTGACTTTTGGTCCTGTAAGTAAACAGTATGCCAATCTTAAATAACTTTTTTTTAAGAAATGGTTTCACTAAAAGGAATAATATTAATTGATAGTTCAATAGTCAGGCTTTATCCAACTCTAAGATGAACTAACTTTGCAGTTCATTTCCCTACACTGACTCTCGTTTCAATTGTGCAGGTAACTTAAAACTGATCCATCCCTATGTTGTCCACGTCTCTAATCTGTCAGATTTTCTTAACAGATTCTCTAAAGTAGCCAGTCTTGCACTTTACATTCTACTTAATATTTTTCTTTCCTCTAACTGTTTGATTTCTACAATTCTTTCAGCTCTTCTGTCTACAGTTCAATTTGATTCTTAAGTGTGTTTTTTTTAATAAATTGTAGCCAGTGAAGCATTGCATTCATTTTAGAATACATAATACCTCTTATAGCTTATTGTAATGTTCTCTGTTCTGTAATGTTGGACATTTTTTCTCTTTGCTGGGGGTAGAGGCACAAAGGAAGAGGCTAACACAGAGTCACTTAAACTATGCTTTTTGGTGCAATTACTTGCAGCATTAAGACCTGATTTTGAATTCAGTCCAGGCTGAATGAATGAAGCACTTTTCTGGGATTAAAATACATTGCTGGAGCAGAATACAATATTTAAGGCATGCCAGATATACGCTGTGAGTTCTCAATGTTAACACAAAGTGCTCAGAAGTGCTCAGAATTGAACGGAACTGTCAAATTCCCCAGAATTGGCATTCTCAAAATGATGTATACAATCACATTTTTACACCGCTCCTAAAACATGTGCTACCCCCAGCTTTACAGGAATGAAAATGAACTATCATTAGACTATTCTAATCTGGTTGACTTTTATATTGACCCAACCTTTTCCACATCACTACAGCAACATTCTTTAATTATTAGTTTTTATTGCTCTACAACCTTTGATCTTTGAGCTGTTTTGCAGATTCTGTTGCATATTAATTGCCTCTTGGTTTCATTCACTGAACGTCTCTTACTAACTGATGAACTTCTCGTATCCTGTAGCCAGTTTAGCAGAGATTCTGTGCATTCTCTTATTCTCTATTTAATAATGAAAAGGGAACTAATGATCTTTTGGAAGAATCTACTGCACTTATCTGTCCTCTGATCGAGTCATCTCTACCATTAAATCTTTGTCAACTCCTAATTCCAATTTCCACCTTTTCTCTGTATGCCTTTATTATCCTTAGTTGTCAAGTCTCTCTCCCTCTTTACTCTAGTTGCATTTTAATAGATTGGAGTTGTCTGTTGGATAGTTTAAGTTCTAAAGTTTTTCTTTGTCATTTACTGCTATTCATAGCACAGTTTAGCTATTGAACATGGGACCTCGCCACTCTACATAGTTCAATAACGCACTCAATAACATGCAGCGGGTTTCCTCACTAAGCCATTGGGGGAAGGGACCATTCTTAAGATAATCAAATTAGCCAAGTGTTCGAAACTGTTAACAAAAAACTTTCTTGGGATCACCCATTTAAAAGTTGATGTGAGAGGACCATGTGATGTAACATGAGATATTCTTATATCTGTATTGCAGAAAAACTTACAAATGGTTTTTTTTTGCAACCAATGAAACTGTTTCCTGGTTAAACATGGTATCACACTGTCTATGACAGTTGTAACGCATAGGAAAGCTATGTTGCAGAACCATAGTGTCGAATAGTCAGGCTTTATCCAACTCTAAGATGAGCTAACTTTGCAGTTCATTTCCCTACACTGACTCTTGTTTCAATTGTGCAGGTAACCTAAAACCGATCCCAAGCCCCCCTCCATTGCCTTGCCCCTCCAAGCTAGAAGAACAACGTCCCCCAAGAAAAGCTGAACATCCCAATGAAGATAGCTTTAACACCGAGGGTCCCTTCAAGATCTTCCCAAAGTATCTCCAGACGTCCTGGGTGCCAAATTATTCTTCACCAAAAAGCAAGGAGCCCCAATTGCCTACGGTTTCGGAACAGGTGGCAGTTCAAGAAAAGAGACCTGCTGAGTTTGTTCAGAAGATTCCCACGGATAATAAAAAGAACCTTTCAGTTCAACCAAGTAATAAAGGGTTCAGCATGGGGAAACGACACGCCGACAGGCTGAATGAAGAGTTGGAGGACGCCAGCTCAAAGGCACAGGAGCAGAAACCGTTGCTCAATCAGGACGCCAAGATACTCTCAGCAGCAGCCAGGCGTGTTCAAAACCGCCGTTCCTTTAACCGGCCTAGACCTCTGCGTTACCCAAAGCTCCAAAAACTTGGGTCTCTCCCAGTCTCTTGCCACATTCCTCCTCATTCTCTGGAGCAAGAGGAAACACAGTTTTGAACCTTGATTTGCACAGATGCTAATTTTGGTGAAGCCTTCAAAGAAGCCAAATGAGCATATTTTGGTTGTACGGAGCAACTCTAGAATATCTTTTTTTTTGCAGAATGTCAGTTACTGAAATGGAGTTCTGTCGTGTGTGAATTAAGAGATGTAAAAGACAAATAATGGAGCAGTTGATTGAAGATTTAGAGGGTGTGGAATTAGTAACCATGTTTTTCCTTAAAACCAACTTCTGGTGTATTGTACAGAAAAGAAATCTGACCGTAGAAAGGCAGAAATATTTTATAAATGTGATATAGACTGGAAATTTCCAGTTTATTCCTACTGATCTATTTCTTCATTATCCTGAGCATTTTTTTGTTTTAAATGTTTAATGCTGCACATTTCATCATATTGGACATTAGTCACGTGTTTATTTTTTAAGAAAGTTTTGCCATAAATCATTGGTGCCGTAATACTCTAAAACCTACAAGGTGATGTTAAGCCACTGGTATAGCTCCTGAAAACAACACTGCCACATTACAGTATAGTGTAACGTAAACTGCAAGTAAAAATTACAATCTGGTCCTGGCACTGCCATACAATACCAGCAGATCTGATCTTGCAGGTCATCTCCCTGTACTGAGAAGAGTGTTATTGTAGGCACTGCCGTACTTGAGGAATGAGCAGGGTGCTGTGGTGAAATAGCTTTTTGTGCTTTTAGCATAAGGTTTTAGCAGATGTGTTTACCAGATTTTGTTTCAAGAAATGATGCATTTTGTTGGGTGAAATGGCATTGCCTTGCACAAGCTGCTTCACAAGTTGGAATTAGTGCAATATGTTTAAAGCTCTCGCCTGAAGATGGTCGGAGCTCAATCGCTTCCTCCTGCAAAAAGAAATCTGCCAGAACAATGGTCGAGCGATCTGTTGATCTGAGGATTGTGCGGAAATAGCATGTTGGGCGGAGATCTGGTACCATCCTTAGAATATCGTACGTACCCATTACTGGCCCCCTGGAAAGCAAACACGATCAACAGTGACTGAGATATTCTGTGTATCTTTACACCTATTTTGCACAACAGTTATTGCTGTTTTTTACAGCTTTTAAAAAACTGAAGTTTGTCCCTTTGTTGCCATGAGTGGAGCCTCTAACAAAGGACAAGACATTTAGAATTTAAGTAGCTGTGTTTTCTGGGTTAGTAAACACAGACCCTGTTTAATGTGAGTGTAATTCAACTGTAAAATCTTTCTTTGCACGTCTTTTTTCTCTGTTTTATTTTCCTTCAGCTTGCAACTGAGAAGGGTGTCCCCACATTGATCTACTCCGAGGTCTTAGCCAAAGCAGGCAGCACTTGAAGATGTGCAGCTGTACCACACCATCTTTAAGTGCTCGTAAAGACATCTGCCTGCAGAGAGCGGGTGATCCACCCTGTCTCCCAGGCCTCTGCTCAGTTGCCTTCCTATTGTAGCACAGCTCAGGTCCATTCAGATTCTTGCCCTTTGGGGAAATAACAGATTTGGGGAAATAATAAATTTCTTTGTTTCTAGAAACAAACACCGTGATTTTTCGCATACGAATTGCACCGAGGATTTTGCATGTAAAATAGTGCAAGTCGTATGCAAAAATTCATGGCTTGCTTTTGTAAATATTATTGTACATCACCTGCACTGGCATATAATGGACACTTGAATTTCAAGGCCATCTTTTAGTGTAAAAGGTTATCCATTATAGTAGATGAACGTGATAATGTCTTCATATCCCTGCACCTTTAATTGCTTGTCATTGTAACTTTCAAATGTCATTGTTTAAGGCATGTTTGCCATGAGCCTCTGGTGCCAAGAAGAGTGGTGGAAAATTAGAGAATACACTTGGATAATGGACTTTTCCTTATCACCCTTCCTCAGTGTCCTCTCCCCCCCACCCCGCCGCCCACCAAACCACTCTGTGTTATTGTTTATCTCTGTCCATTCTTCTTCCCCCTTGATCACTCCGATGTTTATGCACACGTCGAGTGATGTTCAACATTCCTTATTGGCTGAGTCACGTGTGCAAAGGTGTGGGTTCCAACTACCCAATGCACGGCCCATTCTGGTAATCAGCACAGGCGGAGTCCAGAGAGAAGTGCCCGATCGTTGCGTGACTAGACTTTTTTTTGGAGGATATGGCTGGCTTGAGGCAGCTATACACCTGGTGATGACATGCACGATGGCGTTGCCAGGTGCAAGTGTGCATTTTCCGTGCATGTTCCAATTGGTGGGGTGGGGGGTGGGGAATGGGGGTGCCAATGCGAGCACCAGAGGCAGGTTCACTACCACCTTTACTTCTCAGCAACCTCGCTGTCACTTGCCTGTGACTGCTGAACAGGCTAAATGCAGTAATAGCTTCAGAGGTTGTACAGTATTTTGTACTCCTGATCCTTTTGGTTTAAACAATGGTGTAACCAGATCGGTGACACATAGAACACACCATGATGCTTCTGGGACATTTTAGATGTTGATGATTTATGGTGTCCTGCAAATTGTGACATTTTGCTGTGCAGAGGAATCCATGGGAATGCAATGTCCTTTGTTATATGGACAATTGGATATATAAGTTGCCCATCTAATGTTATTGAGTTCTACTTCTACAGGGTGGTAATCTGACCAGTCAGTCTGCTTTCTGTCTTCTACATACTTATGGGTTAATATTACATTACTGTATGTCTTACTTTTGCAAGCCCAGAACAATAAATATATTTTTTAAAGTCAGCGTTTTAAAAAAGTGTGTCTATATATTGAAATTAGGAAAAGGCTGATCTTTTTATTAATATAAGTCTGTAGGCAATACATAATTGCTCAGGAAAGTATCATGTAAAGTAACCTCAGGTGTATACCAAGCATCGTGCTACCATATCACTATGTCCGGTCTGATTTTATACAGAGTACAAGAGTGTAAAGGTTGTCTATCATTTTTGTAAATAAAGAGAAACCAAATCTTTAAAATTATTTTATAATACATTTGACTTGTGTCGTCTCTTAAAATGCTGGAATTTGAAGTGAGCTTTTCCATGCTGAAGCTAATGAATCACTTGTTTCTGTGATTCCTGACCCTCATATGTTCTAATCTCACCCTGGGGATCCTAAGGTTTAAGCAAAGTAGGCTATCAAATAATGGGATTTTCATACACTACTATAAAGTTAAGTGTCACCATACATACACATTTGAAATGTAAATATTTTTACTATTTTCTATCTTTCTATGCATCTCCCTCCTGCACGTGTGTGTGTGTGTGTCTCTTGCTTTCTCTTTTTCTCTGGGGGTGGTGCGGGTTTGGGGAGGGGGTTTCCTTTGGCATAGAATACATCAATACAATTCCAGCTAAGAAATTTCCAATTGGCACCAGTTTTGTAGATTACATTTTCACCATGCTTCTTACAACATGCCTAGTGAGGGAAGGGAGGTGTCTTTCAGTGATCCTACACTTCAATTGGAATCCAATTTCCACTATGTCTTGCAAAACTCCAATTGAGCTCCTCAGCAATGCGGTGTTGAGTCACTTGACTTTAGGCACACGTGGCCTCACATACCAGCCTCTTGAGTTGACTGGCTGTGCTTTTGAGTTAATTATTGGTCCTTTGAATACTTTTATTTTTGCTTAGGCAGCAAATCATTCAACCACCTCAACTGTGAGTAAACTTTGACTCACCGGCAATGGGAAATCTCACCTTGGTTGTGTGGAACAGGCCAGATTCCATTCTTGTGAGGAATGTGTGAGACAGGTTGTAGCTTTGCATCAGATCACAGAATATTGTAGGGCTCAGGGGAAATTTACCGAGTTACGTCCATCAATTTCTGCAAGAACTTTGACCTTGTGCCTTGTGAAGCCCTCCTGATGAAACTAGAAGCCTTGGGAATATATGGCCAAAACTTTATTTTATTTGGAATGTTTATTCCAGCTCCAAGATCTGACTCACTGGGATTATCCCTCTTGAGAGAGTAAAACAAGGTTGTCTGTTGCCCATCTTTTTCATGTATTCATCAATGATGTGTTGGATGGCATTGAGGGGGACGGACTTGGTGTATCTGTTCCAAGTCTGATAGGATTGTGTTACTTCAGTTTGCAGATATATAGGGCTGATTTCAGCCCATCCAGACAGATCCACCTGTCAACTTGGCTCAGTTGGAATAATGTGTTTCTGAGTCAAGATTGTGGGTTCAAGCCCAAATTGGTACTTGGAACTTGTATTCTAGGCTGATGTTCCAATGTCGTGCTGGGGTGTCCTGCATTATTGGAGGTGCCGACCTTCGAATGAGACATTAAATTGAGGCCCCAACAGCTTTTCAAGTGGATGCTAAGGATCCCATGGTACTATTTGAAAAGAAAAGGGCTTTCTGGCCAACAATCTCTTAATAAAATTGGTCATTCGCCAGGTATTTGCTGGTTGTGGGACATTATTGTGTACAAATTGGCTGCTGCATTTGCCTACAAATAGGCAATCACTATACTTCATAGTAGCATCTTGTGAAGTGCTAGGAGACACTTCAACAACGTGATAAGGAGCTATGTAATAATAATAATAATCCTTGATTTGTATCAGATCACAGAATCTGAACCAAGCATTTACATAGCACCTTATCACATCTTCTAGACATCTCAAAACACTTCACAGAATATACTGTAAAGTGAATCGACTGTATATTTTGAGAGCGAAATGCAGCAACCAATTGCGAACACAAATACAAGGGTTATTATTTTATTTTCAACCCTGGCAGAACATATTAAACCTGAACCAGAGCCCAACATAAGACCTAATGTTCACAAAATGAAATTGCTATTATTTCAAAGTCATAACATTACAGCCCGGAGAGTGAACAAATCAGTTATCTGGAGCGGCACACCATCTATTGGTGTTCCATAAATTTTTTCTTAAATTTGTACTAAATGAAGGAATACAACAAATTTTAATCCATAGGAATGATAGTCTGTCACTCCACTATTAAATCTGGCACCTTTTTTCTCAGCCGAGATATTTATTCAGTTAATTTTTTAAGATGTTGATTGATAGTATATTAATTGCTTCTGGTTCCAGTCTATTCCATGTTTCTACCTCTGTGTATTCCATGTATTAAATCTGTCTTCTACCATTCCAGAATATTAAATCATGTGGTCATGTCCCCTTTGAATCTGTTATTAAAATAAGCTCCGTTCTGTGAGTCTCACTTCACCTCAGTGGGAAATAGTTATCAGTTAGGAGCATTATGGTGAGACTAGTAACATGAGGTGTTACATGAGCTCAGCTTCAAAAGAACCTTAGTAAAAGGTGAGACATGAATCAGAAGCCAACAGAAGAATGAAGAGAAGATGCTCCAGTTTCGCGTGAATGTGATGGCTCTATTCTTGGTCTACTTCCTGGTAATGTTCTAGTTTTAATAGAAACAAAAAACCTGGTTTTGTCTTTTCAGAGAGAAGTTCATTTCTGAGAGTAAAGCCTGATCAGTAAACTTAAAGATAGTGTTTTATTCTTTATCATTTGTCTTAAAAGAAACTTACTGTATTATCTTGTAACACAATAGCCTTAGGTATCACTTTGAGATGACATGAAAAGGGACTAAGAAAACTAAAAGCACTGTAAGTAAGAGGTAATTTATTGGAGGTTCTGAAGAAATAGGAGCAATTCCCTTAGTTACAAACGTAAATCACTTTAATGAAGAAAATTGGTTCAATCATAGCATTCCTCTTATTAGAAAGAAGACCTTTCTCTTTGACTGTGCCTTTGGTCACCTTCCTCCCCCTCCTCCTGGCTCGGTGCCCGGGATCCATTACTGTAAAGCGCTCTGAGACACCGTCCGGCGTGGAGGGCGCTATATAAATCCAAGTTGTTGTTGTTGTAGTTGGCTGCTCTCCCTCTAATCACCGTGGCCAGTCTATCTCTTCCAGCTGTCTCAATCTCTTGTTGTTGCTTGTAACTTCCACAGGAGGCCAGCAAAGCCTAGCAATTCCTGGCTGTCTGAGAGGGTTGTGAATTCCTTCACTGCACAGTACTTAAGAGCAGTGGTGGCCAACCTTTAAGGTCGGCCATCCAAATATATTTTCTTGATTGAATATTTCTTGATTAATGGCCACACCATAAACATCGTCACTCAGTAGCTACTGGAAACAAAGCATCGATTTAAAACAGACTCATTTAGACTAGTGTGAATGTTCGGCGGGACACTTCCTGCCTGTGGGTCAAGCATTTCTTCAGCAACAACAAAATTACATTGTAAAGTGCCTTGCATGTCGGGAGGACGTCCCAAGGCGCTGAACAAACAGAGCTTTGAACCCGAGCTGGGGGTCGGGGAGGGTGGAGGGCAGGGGGGGGGAAGCAGGGAGATCGAAAGCACGGTCCAAGAGTAGGGTCTTGAGATGAGTCTTGAAGGTGGCGAGGGAGGGGACAAGGTGGGGGGTTATAGAATGGAGTTCCAGAGGGTGGGGGCAGAGTGGCAGAAGGCCTGCCTGCCAATAGTGGGGCGAGCGAGGCAGATACTCACGAGTGTACAAAACAGGCTAGAGTGAATGACCAACATGAGTGGCAGTCACAGATAGATGCCTGTTTGCATTGCTGTGGATCACAAATGCAGGGAATGTTGATCATTCTGAGAATGTCTGTAAACAAGTGGATTGATTAGTTTTTTTTCAATTGATAGAAATTGAATACAGGTCCAACAGTTGGTCTGATTTGAAGAAAAAGTTTCTCTATTTCTAAAAATTGTTTTAAAAGTTTAACATGAGTTTTATTTCTTGCTTTCCTATTGTAAAGACATTGACTCTTGCTGAGTTCCACTTCCACAGGCACCAGCTACCTTGCTCAGTGGCTACAGAGCCCAGATAGTAACTGTCAACAGGTGAATTCAACCAACCTGATCCTGTCCTCTCACTGAAATCTGTACACTAGACTAAAAGTAACAGATGCTAATGGGGATACAAAACAGCCAAGAGTGAATGACCAATATTGTCTACAGGATTGATATCTGGGACACTGGGAGAAACTCCATTCTCTTTAATAATAATCCTTGCTTTTGGTATCACGCCTTATCACGTTCGAAAGGACGTCTCAAAGCACTTCACAGGCTTTGCTGTAAAGTGGTGTGCATTCTGTGGGTGAAGTGCGGTAGCACAATTGCGTACAGCAATGTCCCACAAGTGACAATGAAACAAACAACCAATTTTATTAGGAGGGATTGTTGGCCATGACACCAGGAGAAATTCTCTTCTATTTTCGTGTAATGTCATGGGATCTTTAACATCCACCTGAACAGGCAGATGGGACCATGTTTTAACATCTCATCCAAAGGATGGCACCTCTAACAGTACAGCACTCCCCCAGAACTGCATTGGAGTGTCAACTTAGACCATGCAAGTTCAAGTCCTGATGAACCTATAACCTTCTGACTCAGAATTGAGACAAGTGCTATGGTATCTTTAACATTCACCTGAACAGGCTTGAAGGATGTCACCTCTGCTAACATGATACTCTCCAGCAATGTATTGGAGTGCGTCTAACCTCGGAGCTTAAATTCCTCAGGAGAAGGGGAGGGCTTGAACCCACAACTGTGTGACTCAGAGGCAAGAGTACTACCAACTGAGCCAGCTTGCAATGCCTTCCTGCAGGAGATACAGCATTGGGATAAGAGTCACATTTAGGTAGGTTTTCATAGCTGTTGAGAGAGTGAATTTAATGGACTCAATGTTTTTTTTCTTACGCTATGCTTTTCTTCACCCTCTTTAACCCAGTCATCAGACTATACAGTAAAATCCTGTGAAACACTTTGAGACTCTCAAGAACACCATAAGGTGCTATTTCAAATGCAGAGATTATTATATGAAAACATTTGTAGAATAACAATGCTCTTTATTGCATACATTACTGCTTTGATAATGATAATAATAATCCTTGCATTTGATGTAGCACCTTATCATGTCTTCAAGACTCCACAAAGCATTTCACAGAATATACTGTAAAGT